TATATTTGTCTTTTTGAGGCAGGGTCTCACTGTGCAGTTCAGGCTGGCCTTGAGCTCACTTAGTAGCCCAGGCTGGTCTCAAATGCACAACAAACTGCCTGCCTCAGCCTCCCCAGTGCTGGGAGTACAGGTATGCGCCACCACACCCTGCTTGTTTTTTATTTCTCGAATTAAAATTGGGCATATACAAAGAAATTTTATGTTCACACCTTCCCTAAACTGTCATCTAGGATTTAAAAACTAAGAATAAGCGGTTGGCCCAGTTGCAAATACTTATAATACAGCTTAAGCAACACAAATGTTGAGTCCAGAACTTGCCAGAGACATCCTGCAGATTAAGGATCTGAAAGGCCTCTAGTCCCCTTTGGTTTTGTCTGGAATTTCACAGTGAAGAAGTGTAGTTATTCAAATGACTCTGAGGTTGAGGTTTCTTGGAACAATTCCCCCAAATTAAAAATAATTAAAACTTAACATACACATGGTTAAAATATACATCATCCAATAGCAGTAACGACTTCACCAGAGATAGCTTTTGCTGTCCCTTCTACCTTGACTTTTTGCCAAGAACAGCTAAGCTCAGATTGGAGCTGTGGGCTTCTCATGCTCAAAGCTGTGGGCCATGTCACTGAGCTCTTACAAGTCTCCGGTGTGCATCCCTGACAAAGATGGAGAGGGGGACAGGAGCTCCGGGATGCCTCCTGCTTGATGTCACAAACTGACTTCTGCATTTCCTTTTGGCCAAGTCAACTGTTTCTCCTTTTTTTATTTCTGTATTTAGTACATGGTCTCACTACATAGATTGGACTGGTAGTGATCCTCTTGTTTTCAGCCTCCCTAGAGCTCAGATTGTAGGTGTGCTGTACCATGCCCAGTCTCAGTTGCCAACTCAGTGCACCCGGGGTGACGGGGCTGGCATGGCAGACCTAGAGTTGAATCCCAGCCCTGCTCTCTGCTTAAGCAGGCACTTTAGTCCTCTGAGTTATCTGGCCAGCCCTACTATTTCTACTTTAAAGATTTCCCTTCGAGATTGCTTTTCTGTTCATGACTAAACCTAGGCATTGTGGGAAGGGGAGTAAGAGTTGCAGGAATGCATCTGGGAAGGGACTCAAACCCTGAAAGGCTTCTGCCATCCTGGCTGCTGTCAGACATTTGCAGAGATGTTATATTATGAAAACCCCAAACATACCTAAGTGGAATAGCAAAACAGAACAGACTCCATGAACTGATCACTCAGCTTTACTATTAGTATTTTACCATTCTTTTTTCATGTCATTCCTCCCCATTTAAAAAATAGCTTTGGAAGTATTGGGGGTCAAAACTGGGAATCCTGGGGAGTGAACCCAGGACTGCTTTGCTGGGCTGCAACACCAACCTTGTCCTTTTCTTCTGTTCTTATTTTGGGAGAGGGACTGACTGAAGCTTAGCCTCCCAAGTAGCTGGGAATGCAGGCATGTGCTGCCCACCACTCCTCTACTTTAAAAAAAATTATTCCTGCCCTAACTTGTGTTTTAAAGAGGAACAAAGATACCACATCATCTCATCCATAAGCACTTGTATCTCTAACAGATAAGAAATTAAAAAAAAAAAAAAAAAACTAGCTTCACTTAGTTCCTTGGAAAGCATACTTTGTGTTCATGTTGTTTAGACAAGACACCACCCCTGTATCTTGTGCTCTGAGGACCCACTAGGTAGAAAACAATGCACAATGTATCAATTTTAACTGTTTTGAAACTCAGTTTCATTATTAATTTTTTTCTCTTTAAAGTGAAACCTAGTCAGACTCTCTCCTTTTTTTTGGCCTTTTTGAGACAGGGTCTCAATATGTAGTTCAGGATGGTCTTCAACTTGCATAGATCTTTCTCATTATTTTTAATACCAGACTATATGATATTGGACTATGTTTAGAGTGTGTCCTTTGAACACCCTCATCAGTCTCTCTCTTTCTCTCTTTCTCTCTCTCTGTCTCTCTCTGTCTCTCTCTCTGTCTCTCTCTGTCTCTCTCTGTCTCTCTCTCTGTCTCTCTCTGTCTCTCTCTCTCTCTCTCTCTCTCTCTCACACACACACACACACACACACACACACACACACACAGTGAAAGTTCCCGCACCTTGCCTTGACTGACTCTTTTCAGCAGAATGCTACCACTTGGAGCTGCTATATGGCACAGCTGTTAAACACAGCTGCTTTTCTGTCCTGAAAGTATCACATGGGGAAAATCAGTCACAGAACTCACAAGCTGATTTGTCTTTATGATGATTCCCTTCTCTTTAGGAATTTGCCAGTGGCCACGTTGCTTCCTGTAAAACACCCCGTGTCCTCCATGTAGCTGGCTTCGTGCTTACTCTTTGCGCATTCTTGCTAACATCATGGGTGCACTTACAGTTAGATACTCAAATAGCACCTGTGTCTACGCATTGCAGGCGTGCTTGTGACACGCTGACGTCTGTTCCTCACGTCCGTCGAGCAGCAAACAATGCCTTCTTGTTTCTGATTTACTAATGTTTACAGTGCTCGCGTTTCCCCATGATAATTTGGCATTCACTGATGATTATGGTCTGTTTTCATTATTGTGGTAGTTTGAAAAAAAGGTTTTTTGATGCTGGGTGAATTTACTCTCCTAGTGTTTCCGTACTGCATATATTTCATTAGTTGGTCCTATTTACACTTAAAATATATTGCATATTAGAAGCTGAAATAGCTGATTTAGTCTTTATCTAGAAGTTAACATACAGACTTCAATAGATAGCTTCTCGTCACTTTCCTTCCCTCGTTATGTACTATGTTTTCTTTGTGTGTATCTTTAAGAGTTTGTTGGAAACTGGACATTTTTAGCAATGTAATGCAGCAACACTGGACATCACATTGCCACTTCCTCATCCCTGATTTGTTCTCTTGCTGGTTATTGTCATGAATTTGCCTTATGATATTTTTTTAACTACTCCGTATAGCTTGACTCTGTCATGTGCAGCATGAAGTCTTTGGTTAGCTTAGTGGTCGGCTAATGATTAGAGAGTTTTATGAAGTTGCTAAGCTCAGTAGTAAGTCAGTTTTTGCCAAAGGGATCTTCGGTGTTTAGAGACAGGCATCCACCACTCAGCCAAGTTGGTCGCAGTCCTGGGTTAGCCTTTGTGCCCTTGCTGCTGGAGAATTTCAAGATTAGATTGTGGTGACGGTTTAGGTCTTCCATAGGACTCTTCACTGTGCACATGGTCCTACACACACGGGAAGGTTTCTGGGAATGTACTGAAACTTTTCCAAGTCTGTTATGGACATCTTACTTTTCAAGATTTTCCCTTTTGTGTATGTTGGGGGAGGGAGGGCTGTGCAATCCCAGGGCTCTGTGCATGTTAGTCAAGCATTCTACCCCTGAGCTACATTCTTGGTTCTTGCATTAAAAAAAAGGTTTTTTTGGTTATTCTGTTTCTTGCTTATCTGTTATCACTATGTTAGGCAGTGGCAATATTCAGCAATTGCCTATAGTTAATTTTTAACAAACACTTAACATGGAGGAGGGCTGTTCATATTGGGTGTGCTCCAAAGTCAGATCAAGTGAAGGTAACCTGACCAGTGAGGTCATCAGGGAAGCTACTAAAGAGGTCCCTTGATGTCAGTGCCCTGAGAATGGTACCTGGAAGCTGTCCACCCATTTGCTGCCCTCCAGAGTCTGCCAGGCTGCTTGAGTTTCATCCTGATGCAGGCTGTTTGTTTTCCAGGCTACCATGGAGCTGTGGAGAGGATGCACATGGCATGGGTTAAAAACACCACCTCACTAGTAATTCTCATTGTGACACTGGGCTTGATTGTGGTTCTGGGAATCAAAGCTAGGGGACCCTGCATGATAGGCCCTATGCTGAATCCCACTCTGCCATTACCACTCTGCCACTATGCTGAACCCCAGCCCCTCTAATTTTTTTCTTGAATAAACTGAATATTGCTTCAAGCCTTTGGTTAATTTCCAGATTTCTGAAAAGTTGATTCTGGTCATTTTTGCCAGTAGTCTCATAGTTTTGTGGAGAAGAAAAATTTCGAAGTCCCTTATTCTGCCATTTTTATGACACCTGCCTAATGGTCATTTCTGACCATCATACAATTGTAATATTTCTTGTGGATTTACAAGCTGAAATTCTTTTAAATACTTTGTCTTCTGAGTTGATTTGCTGTCATGGAATCATTTGGATACAAATGACAGGATAAATGCATAGTTAAGATCTTTAGCAAATTTCAGAGATTTTTAACCTGTTCATTTTGATGGAAAATCACAGTTGGAAATCACACTGTCTAAATATGCTTCTTTTTCCCGAGAAGTTATTAACTTGAGCTTTCTCAAGGACAAGCATGAAGTAAATTATTTTTAAGAAAGAATTTGAACTTTTTCATTTGTTGTTGGTTGATTTTCTGAAACAGGATGTAAAGCTATAAAAATTAGGCTGGCCTCAAACTTAATGACCCTTCTTCTGCCTCAACCTCTTGTGTGTTGGGATTACATGCACAACTATGTTCAACTTGAAATTCTAGTTTAAAACCTGAGTTCATACTTTACATAGTCAAGATTACAGGTTGTTTTTATCTCATTTTACCTAGGATCTCTTGGCTTTGACATTTCTTTATGAACAATATACATAATTTCAAAATAGGGGGTGGAGAAGGGAACTGACAACTCCCAAGATTAACCTTCACTTTGTAAAAATTACTGTACATGTGATTTTTTTTTCCTGGTCATACATTTGTGCTGCCCATGTTTTCTTGACACATTTCAATAAAATGATTTGCAAAATAATAATAATAACAGTAGACTACTAGAATTGGGTTTATAATCTTGGTTTTTTTCATCCTTTATTTCTTTGAATACTTTGTTGTATCAGCTGATGTCTGCAGTGCGTAGCATTCACATTCCTTGTGTGGAGGTGGAGCATGCACATAATGTTTAAGTTCTTTTTCTCACCTCCACTACTTGCCTCGGTCCAGCTCCCAGCTGACAAAGATCTAACACTCTACTTTCTATCATCTATTTTTGTTTTGCTCCTTATTAGCACATGGATTTCTCCTAAGACAAACCATGCAATATTTAAACTTGTGATTTATTTCAGTTAATATTGTGTTCTCAAGGTGCACCTAGTTTCCTACAAATGACTCAAATTTATCATTCTTGGTGGCACAGTAGTTCTCCACTGTGTGTAAATGTCACATGAATGAATAAATTGTCTTTATCCATTCATCTGTGATGGATATACAGGCTGCTTCCAGGGCTTAGCTTTTATGAATTCTATGCTGTAAACATGGGCATACATGGGTCCCTATAGTATGTTGTATTTAACCTTCCAAGGAGATACTCAGAGGAATAGGTAGGTCAAATATCAAAAGGAATATAATACTTTGTTAAGGCCAAAAACTAGAAAGCCCTCAAATATCCATCAATTTTAAGGTTGTTAACTTGTCATATATTCACACAAAGAAATATGATGAGAATTAATGAAGTACAACTACACACAGTGGTATAGATACATCTTCTCAAAATTGTATACCAAGAATCCAGATACAGCTTAAAGTTTTACATTTGATATTCAGGTGTATAAATAAAAGATGGATAGAAAGACGCTAAACAAACCTATTCTGAGAGAAATGACTTTTAGGGAGACAGACCCTGGAAGAAAGTAGAAAAGATTCTCTTTGCCTGGAGTTTTCTGTGTGTTGGCTTGGTGCTTTCTAACTGGGTGCACCCCACTCGGGAACTGTCTTTTTTATAGATGAGGCTGCTGGGGTTTAAACCCAGAGTCCAATCATGCTAATCAGAGCTCCACCACTGAGCTGCATCTCTGCCCTTTTGATTGTGAGACAAGGTCTCACTAAATTGGACAGGCTGGCCTTCAGCGTGGGAGCATGGAGGCGGGGGCAGATCTCACTGTTCCTAGCCATGAACTGGTGCTTTGATTTTCTAGGAGAACATGTGCCTGCCAGGGGCTGGATCCAGACACCTGTGGTGCCTCCTTCTCTTTCGGCTGTTCGTGGAGCATGTACTACAATGGGTGTAAGTTTGCCAGAAGCAAGGTCCCAAGGAAGTTTAAATTGGCTGGAGATGACGCAAAAGAGGTTGGTTTACTTCCTGACACTCAACCAGTTTTTCCTAAAGAACAGATGGGCATGGATGTTTAAGCTAGTATATGGTCCAGAATATGTGAACAATAAGAAAATTTCAGTGTATTGTATGGAATGTTGGAGGATGCTTGTTATCCCAGCTACTCAGCAGGCTGAGGCAGGAGGATCACAAGTTCAAGGCAACCTTAGTAACTTATCGAGACCTTGTCTCAAAGTTAAAAAAAAAAAAAAAAAAAAAGGCCTTTGGATGTAGCTCAAGGTAGAGCACTTCATTAGCAGGTACAGGACCTTGAATTGAATCCTTAGCATTTTAGAAAGTGGGGAGGGAGGAAAGGAAATCAATGTATTTAGCATTTAAACCTGACCAAAATTTCAACCTCCACACCATATACCTTATACTTTTCTTTTGTATCTTAAGTACAGTGTTATGCTGTAGATACTAATAATATGTTTCTCTAAAAGGAAAATGTCATGACTTTCCTGTAGGTTACTCTAATAGTAAATGAATATATAATAATGTACAAAAGCTCTTAAAATCATGACAGACTTTTTTCAAAGGGACGTTCCTTTTCAGTAGAAATATTTAAGCTAGGCATCTTTCCATAAATTATGGACACATTTAGTAAACATTAGGAGAAGCAGCAACTCATGCTCCATGCTGAGCTTCTCCCCAAGGGAAGTGCTCACCACTTTAACCACTTTGCACGCAAAGCTGAGCAAACAGACAGAAGCCTCCTGCCTCTCCTGTAGGGCACTCCACACAGAGACCTTCACAGTTCAGGTCCCACCCAATGCTTTAAACAATCTGATTATTGAGGTCTACTTGCTAAAAACTCTAATATGAAAATGGACCTGAGCCAGTCAGCAGGACAAGTGCTTTGGACAAGGGGTGGGACTGTCCCTCCTGCCTGCCACAGTGCAAACTTGGTCTAAGGCCTCCAGTGAGACAACCGTGTCTCCATGTGTCCCACTGTCTGGGATAAGTCATCAGTATCCTGCCACCTGTCACAAAGGAAGAATCTTCACTGTCCCTCACATAGTGACCACCTGCTGTGACCACAAGAGCACAGAACAACTTGAAAAGCACGCACTAATTTGAAATGAGAATACTGTACATAGATCCATGAAGCCCCAACCCCCTTGAATGTCCCTCTTCCTCAGCAGATGACAGGACAGTGAGATGGAGAATGTGACCCCTTGAAGGCCTCAAGCTTCAGTTACCTCCCACCCCACAGAGGTCTATAGCTAGCTGCAAGCAAAGCAACCTTACCAAGCGTAGATTCCTTAGCTCGCCTTGTATAACCTTGGACAGGACTTTTTAAAAATACTAAAACAGAAGCTTTTAACTCATTGAAAGAAAGAGGGTATTTACATCCTACATCATTTGAGGGAATGCTATAACAGTTTTTTAATGTATGGCAAACGGATATACAGTTTAATGTTGAATTCTTCATTTTATACAGGAAGAGAAATTGGAGTCTCACTTGCAAAACTTGGCCACATTTATCGCACCGATATACAAGAAACTTGCCCCTGATGCTTACAATAATCAGGTAAGTTGAAATAGTTATTGGTGCTAAGTTTACTAATTAGTAAAATGGACAAAAATTTTGAAACAGCAATTTTCCTTTCCTTTTGTAACTCTTCCTCTTCCTAATAAGCCCTTGCTTCTGGCCCATGAAAAAACTGTACAGAATGGCACATTTTGATCCTTTTAGCTTTAAAGACAATGAGACTTCAGGCTCCCAGCTATTGTAGCTCCCATCCTGGTTCTCATGGGGATAAGTTTGACTCTTTAGGTAGATTTTGATCATTACATTAAAATTATTTGGCCCCAACTATAGCTTTTTCAATTGCCTGTAACTATTTTTCAGAGGATTCTAGAAAGCTGTGAGCATGCAGTGCTGTATGCATATATAGGGATGTCCCAGTATGTCACATTTTGCCATATTTTGTTTCATTTGGCCTCTATCCACTAAGTACTAATTTGTGTTACCTATTTTATGTATATTCAGCTAGATAGTAGGTGATCTTGTTGGAAATTGCTCATGGGAAAGGCTATGATGTCATCACTTTTAGGAATACCAACAACCAAAGTAGTCACACGTGAAAGCTATTGGCTATTTGTTGAAGATCCTCCATGCGGTTTCTCATGGTTAACAATTGCTTATTAAAAGGAGACAGACAGTAAAACAGCAGTTATCAGTATATTAGTTAGGTCTTGTCACTGGGACAGAATATCTGACCCCTGCATCCTAAGGGAGGAGAGGTTTAATTTGACTCACGGTGCCTGAAAGCTCAGGCCGTGCTCATCTGTCCTCTAGGTAGCAACACCATGGTGGGAGGGCATGGTGAAGCAGAACTGCTCAGTTCATGGAGGCTGGGAAAGCAGAGCAGGGAACCGCACAAAGAGGAAGGAGACAGGGCTGGAGACATTCTCTAGGTGACACCCTGTGACCCACATCCTCCAATAGGCTGTCTCCCTCAGAGCCCCTGCAGCTATGCAGCCTGTGTGTGCTTGCTGCCCTCATTGTCCCCGCCCCTCAGGACTCTCTTGAGCCAGGTAAGTTAACAGTTAACTATGCAATAGATAAGATGAAGGTAACTAGCACAGAGGCCTGTGCATACTTCTGAGAGAATGAGAAAGGGTCGTTCCTAAAAGTAGAGATGTAACATCACAAATGTACCTGGATGACAAATCTGTAGACTGTCTTGGAGATTAATGTTGGGGAATGAACTGATGTTGATCTGTATTTCAAAAAGGCTACTCAAGGAGCCAAATGAGGCAGAGTGTAAGGTCAAAAAGAGAAGAAAGCTACTGTAGTTGTTAGGCAAGGCATTTGTAGACACCATGTTAAAGGATTAGCATGGAGGATGGAGAAAATAAAATCTGTCCATGAAATATGTGAGGTACAGTTTGTCAAGGGTGATGTCTAATTGCACGTAAGGACAGGCAGTAAAGAACTTAGGGACCCACCGAGTTTGTGGTTGGCACATGTGATTCTATCAGACGTATCAAAGATCAGTGAAGACCAGTGTGTTTAATAAGTGAACGGGGAAAGGCATTGAATTTCTTTTTGTAGTGCGTGGACTGACAGGTATCTGGGTTAGAGGAGCAACCAGGAGGAAGATGGGAGATTTTGGATCTGGCAGGATGCAATAAGGAGCTGCAGCACTGGCATGGCTGGGAATGCAGGCCCTCATTGTTTTCAGAGTACAGGTTATCCAGAGGAGAAAGGACCAATAACAAAGTCAATTAAAGCTTTTAAATGGATAAGAGTTTTAATATTGCATGGCAGATACTATGGGTTCTGTCCATTGATATGTTAGTGACTTAGAAATAAAAACAGCCATGTCATCTGTACTCATAGCACAGGTAAAGAACATCTGCTATTGTGGGTAGTATCATAGAGCTGGCACTTGGTCTTTGCCCCTTCTCCTCTACTGAGTTATCTCTCATTTCACATTTGAACATCCTTCTTTGCTATATTCCTTGATTTTATCACATTTTCTTGCTATGCTAAGCTTCACTGAGTCTTGACATCATTTCTTCAGTTCTATGTATCATTTTTCTCCTGTCTGTGTGGGAGACATATGCTTGCTCGTCTATGATTTTTGCACCATGAGACATGAAATAGTAGGTTCACATCTCAAAGGTATACGCTGCCTGTCATTTGTGGAGAAGAACCTTAGGCAAGTGCTGTCTCAGAGTACCTTCTGTGATGAAAATGTTCTGCTTCTGCTATTCAGTATCATAGTCACTGGCCATTTGGGTCTTAAACACTCGCTATGTGGCTTGGGTGACCATCTTAGCATAATTTGAGCCCAGAAGAAAGCCAAAAACTTCGATTTGTTGTCCAGACATAGGAGTGGATTTCTGGTGATCCACTCACACCATGCTACATGTGCCCAGTGGGAAATAATAGGAAACTGGTGAAAACTTACTGGGTAGTGAGCACATCACCTGTCTTTATAGCATGGCTCTGTTCATGCAGCATCTCAGGGAAGGGAAACTACCAGTGCCGGGGAGGAGCCATTCAAAGAAGCAGACCGGGCCATCCTTTGAGCTCCCAACAAACCTGAAGTCATTGTGTTGCCAACAGCCAGCTGGCAGGAGACTTCCCAACACCCAGGAAGTAGAGCAGAGCAGAGCACTCATGAGGATTCTGCTCTGTGAGAAGCAACTGGGGGTGCTCTGGGCCCGCCTAAGAGTACTTAAGATCAAGACCATGAAGGGTCAAATTGATTCAAAAGTAATTTAATAGTACTGCAGAAGAAAGATTTGTTTTTAAGTTCAACAATCAACAAGGTATAATTTGTAATGTCCAGCATCCATTTAAAACTTGCCCAAAAAACCCTAGGGAGTATGACATACAGTGAGAAAGAATGGACATCTGGTAACAGAAGTGTCCCAGGAATGACACAACCATAGAATATGAGGACCTTGGAATTCACACAGTCATATTCTTTCTGGACATTCAGATGATCATAAGAAACCATGAACTGTGAACAACACAAAGAAAAATCCACCCTAAGCTGCTAGAAAGAACATTTATAAAGCCTAAATATAAAAATATGCTAGGTGGAATTTTAGCAACAGAAGCTTAGTAAGCTTGTAAACATAGCAATGGAAAATTTCCAATATCCAGACAACAAAAAAGATTGAGGAAAAATGGAATTGATCAGTGGCAGACAATATGTGCTGCAAGTAATAGAAGGCCTACAAGAGATTTTTTTTTAATTCTAAAAATGGAAATTTTTTCACATTTCTCCAAAATGATACTATACACCCATAGATATGAGAACATCAATAAATCCTAAATTTTACGAAGCCACAGTGAAAAGTGCATAGAAACATCATAATAAGTTTGTCCCCAATAGTGGTAAAGAGAATAAAATTTCATGTGGAAAGTAACCATAAAGACATGAAATTGTATGTCACAAAAGAAGAAAGAAAATATAGATCTTTCAAATACTTAAAGGGGCGTAGACTCTTATCAACTCAGAAATCTGTAATCAGTACCAACCTTTCTCAGAAGATGAAAAAATTCATTTTTCAGGCATCAAAGGTGAAGGAATTGACCAATAGCAAATTAGCATCTTAAAATGCAAAGGAAGTGATTGGGCAGATAAGAAAGCATAGAAGATAAAACCTAGCTTGTTTGTTTGTTTGTTTGTTTGTCTGAGGCAAGGTTTGTAGAGTTCAGCCTAGCCTTGATGTCACCAAAGTCCTCCTGCCTCAGCCTTCCAAGTGCTGGAAAAATTACTATAAAGATGACTTTTATCTAAAAATATATTCACACTGCATACTGAGGTCCAGAGCATACACAAGTATGAACTGAAACTGTACTGTTGTAAAGTTCTTATACTGCATGTGGACTCATACATTATTTCACTGTTGACTACAGACTTTAAAGCCAATACCACTGAAGTATGTATAGGTCAGACAGGAAAGAGAAAAGGGGAACCATTTCAAAAATACTATTTTAAACAAATGGAACACAAAAGGTAAGACAAATAGAAAACAGATATATTTAAATTCATCCACATCAGCAGCCCTATGAACTATGAATGGTATTAACACTGCACTGAAAGAGCAAAGCTAAGCAAACCCCTTTAATCATAAAGACGTAAGCAAAAAATTGGAGGAGAAGGAAAGACACATCGTGCTCACATTGATCAAAAGAAAAGCCAGAGCAACTATCAAGCAGGCAGACTTCATTATAACAAAGGTTATCATTTAATGGGGAGACTCACATCAAGAGAACATAATTGTCTCAAATTGTTACACTTAATATCTTCAAATTAAAAGCAAAGAGTGGGGGCCGGAGAGATGGCTCAGTAGGATAAGCACTTGACTGGCAAACGCAAGGATCTGAGTTCAATCCCCGGTTCCACAAAAAAAAAAATAATAATAATAATAAAATAAAAGCAAAGAGTAAAAATCTCACAACTACAGAGATTTGAACATATCTCTCAATAATTAATACAATAAGTAGAAAGTGTAACAGGAGAAGATTCAGCAATTTTAACCAATTTACAAAGCCATTATCAATAAAATTTAAAGCCTCAAATATAAATAAATGAAGTGAAATAAACTAACAGAAGGGTACCTACAAAATCCTTAAACATCTGGAAATTGAGCACTATCTAAATACCCTATGAAGAAATCACCTAGGAAATTAGGAAGCAAAAAGTGAATGGACGGCAGAAATGACACTGGAATGTGCGCAGTGCAGGTAGAGCCTCAGGCGTTCAGGGGTTGACATGCAAGTGTAGTTTCAAGTCAGGAAACTTCATGCCCTGAGAAACTTGAAAAACAGAGCAGTTAAGCCCTGCGGGTGGAAGACAGGACAAACTAAAGACAAGAACAAAAATCAGTGAAACAGAAGAAACAAAAATGCAGTAAGTAAGTGAACCTAGAAGCTGGTACTTTGAGACAGTTTGTTCGGGAGCAATAGAGATGCAAAAAATGACCCACACCGAGAATTGGAGGCAGGAGGTGTAGACCAGTGTACACACACACACACATGCACACACACACACACACACACACACACACACACACACGAGAAACACCATTACTAACTTCATATCCATAAATTCAGCAAGTTATGTGATATAGAGCCTTTGAAAGATATAACTAGCAAAACTCATTAAGGGAAAAGTAGTCAAAACCTGTGACCTAGTTTTGATTTATAGCTGAAAACCGTCCACGAAGAACACCTCCTACCCAGGTTAGCAAAGGATCCCAGCTCTTGCAAATTCCTCCAGCACTGGAAAATCTATAAACGCTTCCCGGTTCTTTCTCTGCAGCTGGTACCCTTCTAGTACCAGGACTAGACAAAGGCATTCGGGAAAAGAAATTCTACAGCATGGCTGTAAAAATTCTTAATGTATTAAATCCAGCAGAATAGAAGAGAGAAAATGGAGCTCATGTCAGGAATGCATGACACATTTGACTCTCAAAGTCATTTTCCAAATCAACAGATGTAACAGAAAAAACAGGATTCCTCAACAGATGCAGAGAACACACTTGTCAACATTCAGCATCCATACAATGGAGCTTTCTCTCCCTAAGAGATGAAACTCTGGGAGCTAAGTCATGCTCTCTCTCCTAAGATGAAGGCCATGACAAGCGGTGTGGCCTCCCACTTTTGTACTTGGGGATGACACACTTGTCTCCTGAGAAAGTGTTCCCCCAAAATCTAAAACATCATCATCAATTAGAACTATTTGAGGCAAATCTGCACACTGGTAGCTGTGGTTCCCATGGTTCTGTCTTCAGCTCCACACTGCTTTCCTTGCCCCAAAATGCATTAACTCATCTCTAATTTTGGAGAATTCAACCGATGACTGCAGCAGAGCCTCCTGGGGTGTGTGCTTGATTTCCATGACCCACAGTGAAGTGACCTTAGCCATCGAGCCACTTTCTGTAATGAGTATGAACACACAGTGGCGCCATCCAGAATTGGACGAAATCTGCACCCGTGGGCAGAGTCACCGAGAAAGAATGGGACATCTGCGGGCACCAGCTGAGGGAATAGCGAACTGATCTAAAACTAGCATGATTGAAAGTAAAAGCACTGTATTGAAGGATGTGAGGGCATTGCAGACCTTGAACTACTAATAAGCTTAGCAAAATGATACAATAAGAACACTCTGATATACTAGCAATAATTAAAAATTTAAACAAGAATAACCAACAACTAAAATAGCATCCAGAATGCAAAATTCTCAGGCATAAACTTGACAGAAATCTCTTTGATAAATTGGAGAGCTATACCATGTTAATCACAAGACTAAACATTGCTAAATGTCAATTCTTCCCAAACTAATTGATGAATTTAGTATCAAAACCTGAGCAAGCTTTTTGAAAGAAATTGACAAGATGATAAAAGCCATACGCTATACAGTGGTACCTTTGCTCACAAATTTCTTCCATGATTCTGGAAAAGATGGCCTTAGTTGTGTTTGTCACCTAAAGCAGAGTTCCAGACTGGAAGCAAAGTTTGCCAAGTGATGATACTGGCAAACTGAATTGTTCAAAAGCAGAAGTGTTCATAGGCTGAAGGATTACTGTGTGTGTGTGTACAGGCAGGTTTGGTTCCAAGATCACAAACACCTTCAACTTGCTAATAATCTACTAAGAGAATTGTTACTGATATGTACACACACACACACACACACACACACACACACACACAATAAATATACCAATGGATTAAAGAGTTTATAATCTCAGTCCATTGATTTTATTTAACAAAGACAGTTGAATCATCTCATCCAGCGGTATTTGTAGAATTGGATAGCCATATGGAGTGTGTACACATACCCATAAATGCTTAGTTCACACCATATATAAAAATTACCTCCTCCAAGCTACTCCAATTTAAAATGCAAACTATTCTGTAGTGGCAGAAAGCAGATCAGCAGCTGCCTGCAAACAAAACAAAAGATGAGGCTTTCAAAGATACATGGGGAAAACTTGAAAAACTTGGGGTTCTGTGGAAATTAGACTTTATTTTGTGTACAGTGGTCATTATGTGGGTGTACATGCATATCCCAAATGCCTATGTAGAATACCTGCTTAGCAGTGAATAATTGGTACTTAAGAATGACTAATAATTGGGAGCTAAGGGTACAGCTGGTTGGCATCATTCTTGCCTTTTGTGTGTGAGTGCTGGGGTACATTCAGAAGGAGACAAAGCCACCAGAAGGCTCCCTGTCAGTTATACTTAAGTAACTCTGCAAAATACAAATTAAACCCTGGTAAGAAATTTGTTCTACTATGGGTCATTCCATTTTATTCCTGGATGTCCAGCGCAAAGCATTCCTAGAGGTTGGATGTAGCCCAGGCCCCTCAGGATGCTTTTATCCAGGTGTGAAGTCAGCCCCCCACCTCTTGACACATGCTATTGTCTTCCTCAGGTGGAATATGAGCACAGAGCCCCCGAGTGTCGGCTGGGGCTAAAGGAGGGCCGCCCATTCTCAGGGGTCACCGCATGCTTGGACTTCTGCGCCCATGCCCACAGGGACCTGCACAACATGCACAATGGCAGCACACTGGTGAGTGTCCTGTGTCCCACACACAAGCTGCAGTTCCAGGGTGAGCTTTCTTGGTTTAAGTTGCATATACCTACCAGGTGGGCACAGTGGAAGAAACTATACTGACAATAAATACAAGCACTGTGGGGTTCTCAGCGACAAGCTGAGTCCATGTCCAAGCAGCCTGTCCAGTTACCTGATGGGAACCACTCCCTCTTTAGAATCTGTGCCCAGGAGGTTATGCCCAGTTGAGCAGAAAACCATTCACTAGAGAAGGTCCCTGTCACTGCGCCACATGGTGCAGATGAAAACATCATCACTGTTGCTTGTGCACTGTGATGAACCGCAGTGCAGTGGGCCGTTCTAACCTGCTTTCCAAGTTGAAGCTGTGATGGAAGAACATCAGTGGGGTCTTAGGGAGGTGCCTGTTCCCCCTGTTGAAGCCTGTTGCTTTGTCTTGCCTGCAGAGTGCAGATTAAAAGGTGGAAAAAAAACAATTCAGAGTCTGGCATAGGGCTTCATGCCTAGAGTCCCAGATGCTGAGACAGAAAGGGTACTTGAGCTTATGAGTTTTCAAGACCAGCCCAGGCAACATGTTCTCAAAGGGAACAAAAGAAAGTTCTGATGAAGAAGCTTTCAACTATAAATGAGGTAGCCCAGTGCGTTGCCAGCTTGGACATAGGCAGAGTTGAGGAAAATGTCCAGTGAGGCTTGAGATGAAACATAGATCCCAGGCAGCAGGTCATTCTAGGGTGGCAGGGGACTCAACCCCAGGGCATTTTGAGAAACCATGAGCAAAGTTTGAAGGAGAAGGTATTAGCTTAATGTCTTAGATCAGAACTCGGAAAACAGCAAAGGACTAAGAGTATTTAATTCACCTCCTCGGAAATGCTGAAACCATTCCCAGTTTGCTGGCTGTGGGGACCTCTTGGCCAATGTGCTTACCCTGCAGAGCAAGCCCCAAGCCCACCTCCCTCCCTCCCGCCCACCCTATAGACTGAACTGTGATGTCTCCCTTCCCCACCAGGTGTGCACGCTCACAAGAGAAGACAATCGAGACATGGGAAGCACACCCGAGGATGAGCAGCTGCACGTGCTGCCTCTGTACAAGATTGCCGACGAGGACGAGTTCGGGAGTGTGGAGGCTCAGGAGGAGAAGAAGCGAAGTGGCGCCATTCAGGTGCTGACCTCCTTCCGGCGGAAGGTCAGAATGTTGGCAGAGCCAGCCAAGACCTGCAGACAGAGGAAGCTAGAGGCCAGGAAAGCGGCCGCTGAGAAGCTGTCCTCACTGGAGAACAGTGCCAAGAGCGAGAAGGAGAAGGTGGCTGCTGTGCTGCGGACAAAGCAGGCAGAGACTGCAGGCCAGGCCAAGGAGCTGACGGGTAAGTGTGTGTGTGTGCTGTGTGGCTGAGTGGGAGCCTAGCGGCATTGGTTCAGGAGGCTGTATCCATTATAGCCTTCGCTCTGTGCCAGAGTCTTCCTTAGCATACCAGGCTCTGCTCTCAGAGGTGCTGTTCCTGAGCTTGATGGAGAAGTTTGGATTTTATTTCATAATAAACTGAGAAAAGCAAAAGTACAAGTGACAGGATAAAAACTGTGTCAGCCTGGCAATGCGGCACTGTGTACAGCACTGTGGGCACGCCTGCAGAGCCAAGAAGGCGGGCACAACCTTAGCCATGGATGCTGCCAGTGAAGGTGTAGCAAGCATCATGCAGGTGAAGTCCTCCAAAATGAAAAAAAGTTGTGCTCTTGTGGCAGGCAAATCCTGGAATAAAGGAAAAAATAGTTTTATCTGACTGGGCATGGAGACTGAGGCAGGACAAGAACTGCAAGTCTGAGGCCAGCTTGGCATACATAGTAAACTCAAGTCCATCTGGGCCACATAGGAAGATTTTGTTTTTAAAAAAACAAAAAGTTTTTAAGCCTACGTTTGATGTTCGTTTGGAAAAGATCCTTTTCGTTAGATGCGCTGAGTCTGTAATTTACATATAGCTGTTCTCTGAAACCCATCAAGAGAGGAGGATGCACCTCTACTTACAGCAGTGGAGCCTTTTGCTCAACATTAAGTTGAGATTCTCCTTCCATTGCCCTTGGCCTCACATCTACTGTTGAAACTATTAAAAAAAAAAAAATTCCAAATTTTGGGAATTAACTGCAGAAAATGTGTCTTTTGTGCTGCTAATCCAGTTTGCTTAGAAGCAACCATCTCTGCTAGGCAAAGGGAAATGAAGATATTCAGAAGACTAAGTTTTTTTTTTTTTAATTTTCCAAAACTTCTTGTAAAGAAACAAATCATTAAAGCATATATATAAAAATATTAGTTATGGAAGAACAAAATTAAACAGCATTTTATTCCACATTAGAAAGAAAGAAAAAAGGACCAAGTGTGTAAGAAACTAGATTAATTAGAGGACTGAAAGAAAAGATCTGTCCTCTCTGAATTTTATACTTAGCAAACATACCTTTGAAAACTAAAAGTAAGATTTTCTAGTTATACAAACTTGTGATATTTTAATACCTCCAGAAGTAGCATATAGGAAATAGCAAAGAGCATAATTCAAAAGGCAAGAGAAGTTGCAGTATGCTCCTGGATGAACAATAAAGAGCTCTCA